ACAACGGGGGCTGCGGGGCCCGCCCCCCCGCGCGCGGCGCTGCCCCGGCCGCAGCCCCAAAGGGCCCCGAGCCCGCTGTAACTCCTTACACAAGCTGCATGATGTAAACGCTGGATGAATCGAAGTCATGATCTCTTACGATAAAATTTGTCTTGGGTTTTTCCCGTGTTTACAGTCTACTCATTCCTTCAGGTGTAGTCAAACAGAACACAAGTACTTCTGCCTATAGGATGCTCCATAGTCCCTTTTTCACCGACATTTCAGTATTGTCAACACTAAGGCAATGCCCACATTCATGTGGAATTGATGGTGCCTGAAAATCATAGACCCAAAATCACCAAATCACCCTTGGCATGTGCTGAGGCAGCTCGCAGGCCAAATATAGGAACAACCTGTATTTGTAATCCAATTAGGGATGCTGTGCCACACTTCCAGTGCTGGCTTAAAAAGCAGCCTGTACTTGAGGTCTTCCCCCACTGCAAGGATTTGTCTTGCTGGGGTAATTCAGTAGCCACAGCACAGAAACATCCTGGCCACCTCCCGACACACTGAGGTGAGACCTGCAGGGATGTCTGTGATGAGAACAAACCTCAATGTCCAAATGAATTCCTCTTGCTGGGCCACCAAGCAAGACATCTATTCTTCTCTTTAAGAAGAGATTATCTCAATCCACAGGACATTTCTGTATATCCTCTCACATCCTGCCCTCTTGAAAAGATTGTCAGAATAATGTTATCTCAACCCATGAGTTGGAAAGCTTTGCTTCACTTCACCACACTGATAACAATTATGCAGTGCCATAAAGCATTATTGGACTTAATCTTAATATACACATGTATATATGTAAACATAAATATAAACATATAAACCTACTGGGTAGATTTAAGTGCAAATTTTAAGTGCCACAATTATATTACAGCATTAGAATCTTCTATAAGGGCATTTATTTTATTGCTAGATATAAATTAACAAAAATAAATACAAGCAGATGTAATTCTTCTATAAACATATAAAATTACATAGACCTTACCATACAACTACTACTAAGCATGCTGGATTTCCTATTACTTTTCCTGGAAGATGT